CTTGGGAGGGTCCGGGAGGCTGGTGAAGGGCTCCCAGGAGAGGCAGGGGCGATCTTACTTACCTTGCCAGGATAACAGCAATAAGGGCTGCCCACATGCATGCTGGACAATAGGGATACCACAGAGAACGAAAGTCCAGCCCAGGCAGCACAGCAAGACCTCGACTCTACAAAAATTTCAACCACAACAAAAATTAGCCAGGTGTGACGGGGCACACCTGCGGTCGCAGCTACGTGAGAGGCTGAGGTGGGAGGATCGCTCGAGCCTGGGAGGCAGAGGCCGCAGTGAGCTGTGACTGCACAACTGCAGTCCAGCCTGGGTGACAGAGCCAGATCTTATCTAAAAAAAACAAAAAAAAAAAAAAACCCCAAGGCCAGGCATGGTGGCTCACGCCTGTAATCCCAGCACTTTGGGAGGCCGAGACAGGCGGATCACGAGGTCAGGAAATCGAGACCATCCTGGCTAACGTGGTGAAACCCCGTCTCTACTAAAAAATACAAAAACCTAGCCGGGCGAGGTGGCGGGCGCCTATACTCCCAGCTACTCGGGAGGCTGAGGCAGGAGAATGGCGTGAACCCGGGAGGCGGAGCCTGCAGTGAGCCGAGGTCGCGCCACTGCACTCCAGCCTGGGCGACGGAGAGAGACTGTCTCAAAAAAAAAAAAAAAAAAAAAACCACCAAGGCTGGCAGCACGTTGACTCACGCCTGTAATCCTAGCTCTTTAGGTAGCTGAAGCGGGAGGATCACCTGAGGTCAGGAGTTCCAGACCAGCCTGGCCATCACGGTGAACCCCCATCTCTACTAAAAATCCAAAAATTAGCTGGGTGTGGGTGGCGCGCCTGTAATCGCAACTACTCCGGAGACTGAGGCACAAGAATTGCTTGAACCTGGGAGGTGGGGGTTGCAGTGAACGTCGATGGCGTCACTCCAGCCTGGGCAACAGAGCGAGACTCCATCTCAAAAACAAAACAAAACAAAAAACACCAAAACATCCTTCTCTGGTGGAGCTGAAAGAAGTGAGACATCCTTGGCCGGGCGCGGTGGCTCACGCCTGTAATCCCAGCACTTTGGGAGGCCGAGACGGGCAGATCACGAGGTCAGGAGATCGAGACCATCCTGGCTAAGCCGGTGAAACCCCGTCTCTACTAAAAATACAAAAAACTAAACGGGCGAGGTGGTGGGCGCCTGTAGTCCCAGCTACTCAGGAGGCTGAGGCAGGAGAATGGCGAGAACCCGGGAGGCGGAGCTTGCAGTGAGCTGAGATCCGGCCACTGCACTCCAGCCTGGGCGACAGAGCGAGACTCTGTCTCAAAAAAAAAAAAAAAAAAAAATTTGTGTAGAGACAAGTTCTCACTATGTTGCCCAGGCTGGTCTCAAACACCTGGGCTCAAGCGATCCTTCCACCTTGGCCTCCCAAAGTGCTGGGATTACATGTGTGATCCTCTGAGCTCGGCCCTGGTCATTTCTTGAATATCTGTAGCTTATAGCTACTCAGCCCGCCAGTGGCTGACCTAGGTTTCTGGCTGATTCTCTGCGTCCACTAAGCTCACGATTGGGGAGCCAACTCCATGATTTTGCAATATTTCGATGCCAGACCCTGACCCATTACTATGAGTTGGGAGGGTCACATTCCGTTTGTTTTTTCTTTTGAGACAGTCTGGCTGTCACCCAGGCTGCAGTGAAGCGGCATTGGTATGATCTCAGCTCACTGCAACCTCTGCCTCCTGGGCTCAAGCCATTCTTCTGCCACAGTCTCCCGGAGCGTAGCTGAGACTACAGGCGCCACCACTCCCAGCTATGTTCTTTTTTCTTTTTTTAAAAAAAAAAAAGAAAAAGAAAGAAAGAGACAAAGTCTTGCTATGTTACCCACGGCAATCTCAAATTCCTAGACTCAAGCAATCCTTCTGCCTGAGCCTCCCAAAGTCCTGGGATTACAGGTGTGAGCCAGCACACAGGCTGTGGGTCACATTACTTTTGAAAGGTTCTGGATAAAGAACAATGTCAATTAAAAAAGGGGTCCCGGCCGGGCGCGGTGGCTCAAGCCTGTAATCCCAGCACTTTGGGAGGCCGAGACGGGCGGATCACGAGGTCAGGAGATCGAGACCATCCTGGCTAACACAGTGAAACCCCATCTCTACTAAAAATACAAAAAACTAGCCGGGCGAGGTGGCCGGGCGCCTGTAGTCCCAGCTACTCGGGAGGCTGAGGCAGGAGAATGGCATAAACCCGGGAGGCAGAGCTTGCAGTGAGCTGAGATCCGGCCACTGCACTCCAGCCCGGGCGACAGAGCCAGACTCCATCTCAAAAAAAAAAAAAAGGGGGTCCTATCAGTAGAGGCCAAAATCATGACTGAAACTAGCTTAAGCCCCAAAGCAAAACAAAAACCCCAAAGAAGGCCAAGCATGGTGACTGGCGCTGTAATCCCAGCATTTTGGGAGGCTGAGGCGGGTAGATCACCAGAGGTCAGGAGTTTGAGACCAGCCTGGCCAACATGGTGAAACCCCGTCTCTACCAAAGATACAAAAATTAGCCAGCTGCAATGCAGTGGTTATCGTAGTGAAAGTGAGTGAAAATCGTAGCTCACTTCAGCCTTGACCTTCTGGACTCAACTGATCCTCCCACCTCAGCCTCCTGAGTAGCTGTCCCAGCGGTCCCAGCTGCTCAGTGCCCCACCGGACCCAGCAATTCTGTTTTTTTCTTTTTCTTTTTTTTGCAGAGATGGTGGTATGTGTCTCAAACTCCTGGCCTCAGGCAAACCTCATGTGTCAGCCTCCCAAAGTGCTGGAATTACAGGCATGAGCCACCATGCCTGGCCTAGATTCATTTTTTTAGATGCAGAAAATCTGGGCTTTGGATTTAATGACTTACCAAATAAAGGCTGTCTTTTTTTTTTTTTTAAACAAATCAGCAAAACAGGGGCTCTTGGCTAGTTTGCATAAGGCATCCAGTGATGGAGAGATGTGTATTTAAGCTAAAAAAAGAAAAAGTGAAACTCACAGCAGTCTGAGTTTTTATTTAGAAAAGGAAAAAAGAAAGCAACTAACTGAGAGCAAAATAGTTTCCTGGAATGCTGTTTTTTTTTTTTTTTTTTTTTTTTTTGAGATGGAATGTCACTCTATTGCCCAGGCTGGAGTGCGGTGGTGCGATCTCAGCTCACGGCAACTTTCATCTCCCGGGTTCGACTGATTCTCCTGCCTCAGCCTCCCTAGTAGCTGGGATTACAGGCCCCCGCTATGCCCAGCTAATTTTTGTATTTTTAGTAGAGCCAGGGATTCACCATGTTGGCCAGGCTGGTCTCAAACTCCTGACCTCAGGTGATCCACCCACCTTGGCCTCCCAAAGTGCTGGGAGTACAGGCGTGAGCCACCGCGCCGGGCGCGGTGGCTCACGCCTGTACTCCCAGCACTTTGGGAGACCGAGACGGGCGGATCACGAGGTCAGGAGATCGAGACCATCCTGGCTAACATGATGAAACCCTGTCTCTACTAAATATACAAAAAAAAAAAAAAAAATTAGCTGGGCGTGGTGGCGGGCGCCTGTAGTCCCAGCTACTGGGGAGGCTGAGGCAGGAGAATGGCCTGAACCCGGGAGGCGGAGCTTGCAGTGAGCCGAGATGGCGCCACTGCACTCCAGCCTGGGTGACAGAGCAAGACTCCATCTCAAAAAAAAAAAAAAAGAAATGCACTTTCTTTGAAACACCATGTCCTCCCCTTTTTCACCATAAACTCCCTCACTCTCTGCGAGTTTACCTAACTGTATGCGTCTATCTAATTATGTGATTACCTAAAAGTTCCAGGAGCAGGCTGGGTATGGTGGCTCGGGCCTGGAATCCCAGCACTTTGGGAGGCCAAGGCGGGCGGATCATCTGAGGTTAGGAATTCGAGACCAACCTGACCAACATGGAGAAACCCTGTCTCTACTAAAAATACAAAATTAGCCGGGCGTGGTGGTGCGTGCCTGTAATTCCAGCCACTCGGGAGGCTGAGGCAGGAGAATCACTTGAACCTGGGAGGCGGAGCTTGCAGTGAGCCGAGATCACACCACTGCACTTCAGCCTGGGCAACAAGAGCAAGACTATGTCTCAAAAAAAAAAGAAAAAGAAACTTCCAGGAGCCAATCTGGACACAGACCAAGCACGGAGACCCACCTGCAAAATCCCAGAGATTTCCTCAAGGTGGTCTGCAACCTGGCCGTTATTAGGATGAGGCCAGCATGTGCTTTTAAGCCACACAGAGCTTATATTCAGCACCTCCCCTGCACACCCACCATTCCAAGTTCCTCTTTTTTAGCCCCTCACCCCAGCCTCAACTTTGAAGGGGTTTCTGGAGGCCTAAGCCAGCTGCTTCCCCACTGCGAACTCTAAAAATGAAGTCACCTTCCTTTCACTGCACTTTTTCCTCCTTATTGGTTTGGCAAGACTTGGGTATCCGAGCGTGAGCTGGTTACACCCAGGCACTGTCGAGTTGTTTGGGGAGGGGATGACAAATTCCCTCCCGTTGAGAACCACTTGGTTAAACCTGTCCAACTGGAAGGAGTAACAAATTGGTCATAAAATGTGCATGTTTTGGTGAAACCCCTTCTCTACTAAAAATACAAAAACTAGCCACAAATCACTTGAACCCGGGAGGTAGAGGTTGCAGTGAACCTAGAACTGCATTCCAGCCTGGGTGACAGAGCGAGACTCCGTCTCAAAAAAAAAAAAAAGTGTGCTTGTTTGGCCCAGGAGATGCAAGAGGTCTTCTTTACCTACAGTACTGATGAGAAAACTCAAACCTGAGCACCGCCCAGGTCAGAGTGCAGTAACAGGCAGAACTGGAACCTGGCCCCATCCCAGTCTCAGGGGACGGGTGTCAATGTCCCCCCCCGCCTCGTCCTCCCCACTCTGCTAACTTTCCAAAGACCCCGCAGGTTCTGAGTTTTCCCTGGCCGCTTCATGGGATTCCAACCCGTAAACTCAGCGCTCCCCCAGCGCAGCGGCCCCGCCTCGCCCCCACCGACGGTCATGTGAGCGCAGTGCCGGCGGGGGCGGGGCGAGGCGGCGGCGCGCAGTCCCTGCTGGGAATTGTAGTCCTTGCCCCGCCTTTGCCTCGCGCCGACCCCGCCCCTGGAACTACGCTCCCGTCGTGCTCCGCGGCGCCAGGCGGAGACGAGGCAAGGCGGGGCGGGGCGCGCCGGGCCGGTTGCTAAGACTTGGCGAAGCGCTGCGCTCGCGCCCGGATCCCTCAGGTAAGCGCGCGGCGCCGAGGTCTCGGGTTCTCCAGGCTCAGGCTTCCCTAGAAGGGAAGTAGGGGCGAACATGGGGGGTCTCGGCGGTGAAGGGCGCCGGCCGTTCGTGGGGAGAAAACGGGGGCCCCGCGCCAACCTCGGGCGCGTCTGGGGCGGGCCGGTGGGCGCCGTGGGGAGGTAGCGCGAATGCGCGTGCGCTCGGCGCTGGCCTTGGGGGGAGCCTCAGGAGCGCGCTCCCCCGGGCCCAGCGCTTTCATACGCGTGCGCGCCCCTATGGCCCGGTCGGGAGACCCCGTACGCTCCAGCTGCTTCCGGTGGCCCTTCCCCAGGTCAAGTCCGCCAGTCCCCTGCCCCCGAACCGCGCACCCGCAGGTTTCCGGCGCTTTCGCGTCCTTCCTCCCCAGCTCTGGTTTGCCTTTACGTGAAGATTCCCCTAGTCCTTTGTACATCCCCAGAATTGACCATCGTTCCTCGTCGTTACCTAGAGTGCGAGTTTTTCGGGTTTTTCCATCACAGGCCCCCACTTATCTCCCACACTCTACCCCGAGGGCCGAGGTTCCCCGCTGCCTTGCAGAGAAGGCCTCCTTGTAGGATGGCCAGAAACACAGGATCGACTCCTTGGAAACTAGGACGGCTGGGCGCAGTGCCTCACCCTGTGACCCCAGCACTTTGGGAGGCCAAGGCGGGTGGATCACCTGAGGTCTGGAGTTCGCGACCAGCCTGATCAACAGGGTGAAACTCCATCTCTGCCAAAAATACAAAAATTAGCCGGGCATGGTGGCGTACGCCTGTAAAACCAGCTACTCAGGAGGCCGAGGCAGGAGAATCACTTGAACATGGGAGGTGGAGGTTGCAGTGAGCCAAGATGGCACTATTGTACTCCAGCCTGAGCAACCTAGCAAGACTCTCCAAAAAAAAAAAAATTTTTTTTTTTTAATTTGCCAGGCATGGTGACACGTGTCTGTGGTCTCAGCTACTCAGGAGGCTGAGGCAGGAGGATTGCTTGAGCCCAGGAGGTTGAGGCTGCAGTGAACTATGATGGCACTACTGCATTCCAGCCTGGGCAACAGAGTGAGACCCTGTCTCAAAATAATTAAGTATATATGTATAGCGCCGGGCCTGGTGGCTAACGCCTATAATCCCAGCACTTTGGGAGGCCGAGGCGGGTGGATCACGAGGTCAGGAGATCAAAACCATCCTGGCCAACACGTTGAAACCCCGTCTCTACTAAAAATAAAAAGCTAGGCGTGGTGGTGGGCTCTTGTGGTCCTGGCTACTCCCAAGGGAGGCTGAGGCAGCAGAATGGTGTGAACTCAGGAGGCGGAGCTTGTAGTGAGCTGGAATCGCACCACTGCACTCCAGCCTGGGCGACAGAGTGAGACTCCTTCTCAAAAAAAAAAAAAAAAAAAGCAACAAAATATATATGTGTAAAAAAACAAGCCCCAGGCTGGGCATGGTGGTTCACACCTGTAATCCCAGCACTTTGGGAGGCCTAGGCAGGTAGATCACAAGGTCAGGAGTGCGAGACCAGCCTGGCCAATATGGTAAAATCCCATCTCTACTAAAAATATAAAGAATTAGCTGGGTAGGCCGGGCGCGGTGGCTCAAGCCTGTAATCCCAGCACTTTGGGAGGCCGAGACGGGCGGATCACGAGGTCAGGAGATCGAGACCATCCTGGCTAACACGGTGAAACCCCGTCTCTACTAAAAAAATACAAAAAACTAGCCGGGCGAGGTGGCGGGCGCCTGTAGTCCCAGCTACTCGGGAGGCTGAGGCAGGAGAATGGCGTGAACCCGGGAGGCGGAGCTTGCAATGAGCTGAGATCCGGCCACTGCACTCCAGCCTGGGTGACAGAGCGAGACTCCGTCTCAAAAAAAAAAAAAAAAAAAGAATTAGCTGGGCGTAGTGGTGCACACCTGTTGTCCCAGCTGCTTGGGAGGCTGAGGCAGGAGAATTGCTTGAACCAGGGAGGCAGAGGTTGCAGTGAGCCAAGATCACGCCACTGCCCTCCAACCTGGGGGACAGTGAGACTCTGTCTCAAAAAAAAAAAGCCCCCACGCAGACTATTGGTGTGCCCTGGCACTGAGCATTAGCTGTCCCTCTGTTCCGTGTTCTCTCTCCTACTTCCCCAGCCTTCCAGGCTGGGCTGTGGGTCACTGCCTCCGAGGGGCCCTCCTGGATGCTACTGGAGATGGTCAGGCCCCTCCATCCCCCCACTTTCTCTTATGCGCCTGACAGCCCTGCCTTAAAAAAAAAAAGGCAGAGCAGGAATTCCCATTTCACAGGGGTGGAAGCCGAGGCTTGGAGGAATCAGGACTGCTGCCTGAGCCCTCGCAGCCAGGAGGTGGTGACCTGCCCTCCTGAGGGGTCCCAGTGATCGACTGCCTTCTGGGCGTGTGTGGTAGGGGGAGGATCAGGTGGCCCCCCCCCAGCTGTTGGGCGGCAGTCGCTGTGCTGCCTGCCGGAGTGAGTCATCCCCCCTGGACCACAGCGGGTGGGTAGGAGCTGCTCTGGCAGTTAAAGCCGCCCTGGCCTGGGACAGTCCATCAGCCTGAACAGTGCCTGTTCTGAGATTTTGACCTGCCCTCCACGGGCGCAGGGGGCCCAGCCTGCAGTGTCCCAGGATTTTGACCTGCCCTCCAAGGGCGTGGCGGGCCCAGCCCGCAGTGTTCCAGCACTCCTCCCTGGGTCGTTTGTTTTTCATCAGACAGAGGTTGTACTCTTGGAGGGACAAGCGAGGCTGTGTTTGTCTTTGACCCTGGAGACAGTGGAGTGTTTGTGGCCCAGCCGGGCCTCGCGGTCCTGGTCGCGCGTGGTATGCGTTTTGTGAGGGCCCAGCGAGTCGACTGCTATGGGCCCCACCTGCTATGGGCCCCACCTGGCACAGGGCCTTGGGCAGCGGCAGCACCTAGCTCTACCTCTGCACTTCCTGCTCCCGGCTCCCACTGCGCTTCCGGTTCCGTGCTTCGTTGAACGCTTGAGCTTCAGGCAGCGCTGGGGCCACTACAGTGTGCCCTCCAAGTCCACTGGCCCGGAGTTCCACTGGCTGCTTGTCCCCCCACTGTGGGGCGCCTCGGTGGCTGAGGTGTGAACCGGGCAATGCATCTCGAGGAGTAGCGCCCACAGCTGCGCAGCTGCGAAATTATCCAGAGACACATCCCTGCCTGCGGCAGGAGCCGTCCACACCAGCAGGGATGTGTAGTCTGGCGGGCGGTGGTGGTCGGGATCATCCAGAGTCGTTTTAAGATCATCTGCGGCTTAGTCCCAGCACCATCTGAGGCAGTACTGTCTGCTAGAAGTACTGTGAGCATACAGGTGTAAGGTTTTTAGGATTTTGTTATTATTTATTGATCTGAAAAAAGGAACGGGGTGTCTGCGTGTTACCCAGGTTGGTCTCAAACTCCTGTGCTTAAGTGATCCTCTCGCCTTGGCCTCCTGAGTAGCTGGGACTACGTGTGCACACCACCATGCCCAACTAATTTATACTTTTGGCCGGGCGCGGTGGCTCAAGCCTGTAATCCCAGCACTTTGGGAGGCCGAGGCGGGTGGATCACAAGGTCAGGAGATCGAGACCACAGTGAAACCCCGTCTCTACTAAAAATACAAAAAATTAGCCGGGCGCGGCCGGGCGCGGTGGCTCAGGCCTGTAATCCCAGCACTTTGGGAGGCCGAGGCGGGTGGATCACGAGGTCAGGAGATCGAGACCATCCTGGCTAACATGGTGAAACCCCGTCTCTGCTGGAAGTGCAAAAAACTAGCCGGGCGTGGTGGCGGGCGCCTGTAGTCCCAGCTACTCGGAGGCTGAGGCAGGAGAATGGCGTGAACCTGGGGGCGGAGCTTGCAGTGAGCTGAGATCGCACCACTGCCTCCAGCTGGGTGAACAGCGCGAGATCGCTCAAAAAAAAAAAAAAAAAAAAAAATTAGCCGGGCGCGGTGGCGGGCGCCTGTAGTCCTAGCTACTCAGGAGGCTGAGGCAGGAGAATGGCGTGAACCCAGGAGGCGGAGCTTGCAGTGAGCCGAGATCGCGCCACTGCACTCCAGCCTGGGCAACAGCGTGAGACTCCGTCTCAAAAAAAAAAAAAAAAAAAAAAAAATTTATACTTTTAAAAAATGTGGGCCGGGCAGGGTGGCTCACGTCTGTAATCCCAGCACTTTGGGAGGCCGAGGCGGGTGGATTACCTGAGGTCAGGAGTTGGAGACCAGCCCGACCAACATGGTAGAACCCCGCCTCTACTAAAAATACAAAAAATTAGCTGGTGCAGTGGCGCATGCCTGTATTCCTAGCTGCTGGGGGGCTGAGGCAGGAGGATCACTTGAACCTGAGAAGTGGTGGCTGCAGTGAGCTGAGATCATGCCACTGCACTCCAGCCTGGGCAACACAGTGAGACTCCGTCTCAAAAAAATATGTGGGCTGGGGCCGGGCGCGGTGGCTCAAGCCTGTAATCCCAGCACTTTGGGAGGCCGAGACGGGTGGATCACGAGGTCAGGAGATCGAGACCATCCTGGCTAACATGGTGAAACCCCGTCTCTACTAAAAAATACAAAAAACTAGCCGGGTGATGTGGCGGACGCCTGTAGTCCCAGCTACTCCGGAGGCTGAGGCAGGAGAATGGCGTGAACCTGGGAGGCGGAGCTTGCAGTGAGCTGAGATCCGGCCACTGCACTCCAGCCTGGGCAACAGAGCGAGACTCCGTCTCAAAAAAAAAAAAAAAATATGTGGGCTGGGCGTGGTGGCTCATGCCTGGAATCCAGCCTCAGGCCTGCAGTGCGAGTCTGTGGGGGGAGATGCAGGTCGGGGAGGGCTGGCCAGCTGAGACGGTGGTTTGGGGGTGTTCAGGTGGGGTGGATGCCAGAGATGTGGGAGCCAGAAGCGCTGTCCCCCAGGGCCCTGTGAGCAGTCTCTGCAGGCTGGCTGTCCCCACGCCTGCCTCTCTGCTGTGCTCTCTGCCCGCCTAGGGCAGGCTCCCCTCTCATGGGGTGATCCCGAGAACCGGGAGCCCCGCCAGCCTTTCCTCTCCAGTGGAGTGACCCTACCGCCTCCTGTCCTCACCTGTGCCAGCAGCAGGGATGGTAACGGTGCTGGTGATGTCAGGCCGGGAGGTTCTTTCTCACCCGAGAGCCACCTTGGCATGCTGCCCGGCAGTCATGGATGTTAGCAGGAGCCCCAGGGGTGATCCAAGCTCTTCCCGCAGCCCCACTCCGGCCAGAGCCTCCTCTGTGACTGAGTAGACAGGGACACCCCAGCGGCTGCCTGCTCCACCTGACGGCCAGGGCCTCCTCTGTGACTGAGTAGACAGGGACACCCCGGCGGCTGCCTGCTCCCCCTGATGGCCAGGGCCTCCTCTGTGACTGAGTAGACAGGGACACCCCAGCGGCTGCCTGCTCTACCCGACGGCCAGGGCCTCTGTGACTGAGTAGACAGGGACACCCCGGCGGCTGCCTGCTCCACCCGACGGCCAGGGCCTCTGTGACTGAGTAGACAGGGACACCCCGGCGGCTGCCTGCTCCACCTGACGGCCAGGGCCCACCATGGCTGCAGGAATGTGGTCAAGGGATGGGAAGCCGGGCCCTTATGTTTCGTGGCCTGTCCTCTGAGGTCTTTCTTTTCCTAGCTCTTGGCCAACTAGGGGGCTAGTGTTTACAGAAACCACCCGGAGGTGGGTGTTCCGTGTCAGTGCCAGGCTGTGTGCCGTTCTGGGAGGTGGCCCCGTGTCCCCCACACTTGGCATGCTTGCTTTCTGTCACTGCATAGCAGACTCCGTGCATCTGTGGGCTTAATACAACACCCGCCGGCTCCTGGTTCTGTGGGTCAGGGCCTGAATGTGACGTGGCTCGGTCCTCTGTGCGGGGTCTTACCGGGCTGGAACCCAGATGTTGGCCAGGGCTGTGTGGTCATCTGGAGGCTCAACGGGGGTGGCATCTGCTTGCGGCCGGGGGACCAAGGGTCCTGCTCCGTTCCTGGCCACATGGCCCTTCTGTCTGGAAGCCAGGCACTGCCGGTCCACGGCTTGTGCTTCCAGGCTCTGGCTTCTGGAGATGCAGAGATCACATCAGTGGTTGCCTGGATTGCTGTGTGTGTTGTGGGGTGGTGAGACAAGTTTTCTCTTGGGGGTGATGGAATGTTCTGGAATTTTATAGTGGTGATGGTTGCACAACTCTAAGCATACTAAGAGCCACTAAATAGGATACTTGATTGTTTCTGGTTTTGGTTTTTGAGTTTTTTGTTTTTTTTTTTTGAGATGGAGTCTCGCTCTGTCGCCCAGGTTGCAGTGCGGTGGCCGGATCTCAGCTCACTGCAAACTCCGCCTCCCAGGTTCACGCCATTCTCCTGCCTCAGCCTCCCGAGTAGCTGGGACTACAGGCGCCCACCACCTCGCCCGGCTAGTTTTTTGTATTTTTTAGTAGAGACGGGGTTTCACCATGTTAGCCAGGATGGTCTCGATCTCCTGACCTCGTGATCCGCCTGCCTCGGCCTCCCAAAGTGCTGGGATTACAGGCGTGAGCCACCATGCCTGGGTTTTCTTTTCTTTTCTTTTTTTTTTTTTTGAGACAGCATCTTGCTCTGTCACCTAGGCTGGAGTACAGTGGCACGATTGTAGCTCACTTGAATTTCTGGGCTCAAGCGATCCTCCTGCTTCAGCTTCTCAAGTAGCTGAAACCACTGGTGTGTGCCACCACACCCAGCTAATTTTTTGATATTTAGTAGAAATGGGGTGTTGTTATGTTGCCTAGGCTGGTCTTAAACTCCTGGGCTCAAGTGATCCTCCCACCTCGGCCTCCCATAATGCTGGGATTACAGATGTGAGCCGCTGGCACCTAGCCATGAATTGCACTTTTGAAAATGACCTGTGTTGTTGGCCGGGCGCGGTGGCTCAAGCCTGTAATCCCAGCACTTTGGGAGGCCGAGACGGGCAGATCACGAGGTCAGGAGATCGAGGCCATCCCGGCTAACCCGGTGAAACCCCGTCTGTACTAAAAATTACAAAAAACTAGCCGGGCAAGGTGGCCGGCGCCTGTAGTCCCAGCTACTCGGGAGGCTGAGGCAGGAGAATGGCCTAAACCCAGGAGGCGGAGCTTGCAGTGAGCTGAGATCCGGCCACTGCACTCCAGGCTGGGCGACACAGCGAGACTCTGTCTCAAAAAAAAAAAAAAAAAAGAAAAGAAAATGACCTGTGTTGGCCGCGCGCAGTGACTCATACCTGTAATCCCACCACTTTGAGAGGCCAAAGTGGGTGGATCACGTGAGGTTAGGAGTTCGAAACCAGCCTGAACAACGTGGTGAAATCCCATCTCTTCTAAAATTACAAAAAATTAGTCAGGCGTGGTGGCATGTAATCCCAGCTACTGGGGAGGCTGAAGCATGAGAATCGCTTGAACCCGGGAGGTGGAGGTTGCAGCGAGTTGAGATCGCGCCACTGCACTCCTGCCTGGGCAACAGTGAGACGCTGTCTAAAAAAAAAAAAAAAAAAAAAGACCTGTCTTCTGGTAGGTTAATTGCATCTTCATTTTTAAAAACCAATGACTGTTTAAACTCTGTGCAAACCAGGGGTTAGCAGGACATGAGGGAGTGTAGCCCTGATGCCGTGACCTGGGCTGGAGCCCTCAGACTAGCCTCAGCTTTGGCGGCAGCACGCCCTGCCTCTTGGAGCCACGGCCTCCTGGGACGGACTCCCCGGCTCCCCCAGCCGCCCACAGCTGCCGGATGATCCTCTGCTCCCGTCTCTGTCTCCCACAGTCGGCATCGCTGAGGATGGAGCCCGCTCCGGGCCTCGTGGAGCAGCCCAAGTGCTTGGAGGCCGGGAGCCCGGAGCCTGAGGCAGCGCCCTGGCAGGCCCTGCCTGTCCTGTCGGAGAAGCAGTCGGGGGACGTGGAGCTGGTGCTGGCCTACGCCGCGCCCATCCTGGACAAGCGCCAGACCTCACGCCTCCTGAAGGAGGTGTCGGCCCTGCACCCGCTCCCTGCCCAGCCTCACCTCAAGCGGGTGCGGCCCAGCCGCGATGCCGGCAGCCCCCACGCCCTGGAGATGCTGCTGTGCCTGGCCGGGCCAGCCTCGGGCCCGCGCTCGCTGGCTGAGCTCCTGCCACGGCCGGCTGTGGACCCCCGCGGCCTGGGGCAGCCCTTCCTGGTGCCTGTGCCCGCCCGGCCGCCTCTGACCAGGGGCCAGTTCGAGGAGGCCCGGGCCCACTGGCCCACGTCGTTCCACGAGGACAAGCAGGTGACCAGTGCGCTGGCTGGGAGGCTCTTCTCCACGCAGGAGCGCGCCGCCATGCAGAGCCACATGGAGCGGGCGGTGCGGGCGGCCCGACGGGCGGCGGCGCGTGGCCTGCGGGCCGTGGGGGCCGTGGTGGTGGACCCGGCCTCGGACCGCGTGCTGGCCACCGGCCACGATTGCAGCAGCGCAGACAACCCCCTCCTGCACGCCGTCATGGTGTGCGTGGACCTCGTGGCGCGCGGCCAGGGCCGCGGCACTTACGACTTCAGGCCGTTCCCCGCCTGCTCCTTCGCCCCGGCGGCCGCCCCCCAGGCCGTCCGCGCTGGCGCCGTGCGTAAACTGGACGCAGACGAGGATGGTCTCCCCTACGTGTGCACCGGCTATGACCTATACGTGACCCGCGAGCCCTGCGCCATGTGCGCCATGGCCCTGGTGCACTCTCGCATCCTGCGCGTCTTCTACGGCGCGCCCTCGCCCGACGGCGCCCTGGGCACCCGCTTCCGCATCCACGCACGGCCAGACCTCAACCACCGCTTCCAGGTGTTCCGCGGGGTGCTGGAGGAGGAGTGCCGCTGGCTGGACCCCGACACATAGGCGCCGCCCTCCTGCCTCCGGACCCATCCCGCTCTTGGCCGAGGGCGCCCCTCCTGGACTTCCGGTCCTCGATTTCTCTCGCAGAAGCGTGTCTGTGGATTTCAAGGACACACACCGCCTCCAGCGGGGATCACAGGTGCTGCCTTCCGTGCGGAGCGAGCTTTCCTGGCACTTGTCATTGGTGCCACCCCTGTGCCTGCGGGGCTCTTCTGCGGATGCCCTCGCAGCTTTTGTGTTCCCATGTGTCTCGCGGGCCAGGAAAAAGCTCTGATGGGAAAATAAACAGCTTAAAACCAAGTGCGTGTCTGTTGGCAGGTGGGTGCCTTGGTGGCCAGGGTCCCGGGTGGGGTGGGGTCTGTACAGGGCCTGGTGGCTCAACAGGAGGGGACCTGCTGAGCCGCGTGTGGTCAGAGGCCTGGGCTGGTAGAGCAAGACCCCCCAGCTGCTGCCTCCTTACCCGCTTCTGGAGTGCCAGTGGTTCCAGGCGTGCCTGGCCCAGGTGCGTGGACACCAGGCATAGCCTACGGGCCACTGACCTGAAGGAGGGGCCCTGGCATTTACTGTCCTTCGCAGGTGGCAACAGGGGACCCCAAAGGGTTGATGCCCGTCGGCCGTAGCACAGTAAAGACTGGAGCCGTTTTTGCAGAACTTGGAGCAGGACTTGTGGGTCCACCCGGCAAGTGTCCATTGCCTGACCACGTGGGTGCAGCTCAGCCCTCAGACAAGCCTGCCCTGAGCCCCCAGCCCGTGGGGGAGGGGACGTGGCAGGTGGGGGCTCTGCCTGCAGAGCTCATGCAGCGGACAGAGCACCGCTGCTGGCCAGGAGCCCACCAGCCCTGCAGTGGGGGAGTCCGTGCCTGGGGGTGGGACCGAGGTGGGCCGGAGAGCCACAGCGTGGCGTGAAGAGGTGGGAGCCGCAGAGGCGTGCCCAGTTGAGTGGTGGAGGCAGCGGTTGGGCCTCCTTCGTGCTCAGGTGCTCAGCTCCTTCCCCTGAGGGGCAGGAAGTCAGGGAGGAGGGAGCGAGAGGTGGGAGGTAGACGGAAAGGAGGATGTCCTGTCCCAAGAATCCAGGGTACCTCACCCCACGATGGCATGTCCCTGAATGGGTTGTGCGTGGAGGGCTCAGTTCCTGGCAACTGCTTCACCTGGACTGTGGGTGGGAGGCAGCTCCTGGCCCCACGCCCGCCCCCTCAGGCCTGCTCCCCTACCAGGAGCTGGGATGGTTCAGACCCCGCTGGGCTGTGATGCCCGATGGGCACCAGGCATTCCCCTGCTGGGCTGGCCCACCTCCTGATGGCAGGTCTGCCCCCAGGATCATGGAAGCAGCTAGATCCACTCACTCGTGGGGGGCTGGCAGGCCGGGTGGGGCTGCTCTGGTGCGTGAGCTCATGGGGTCCCCTTTCAGAAGGGCCAGGGTACCACGTGGATGTGATGGGGTCCTAGGCCATGCAACGCTCACCTTGCAGCACCCACCCCTTGTGGGCTGAAGCCGGGAATTGGGGGGCGCCGGGGCCTAGGACAGCAGGGGAGGGGCATCCTGGCTGGGGCAGTGGGTGGGAGGGGCTGCAGCCAGCTCTGCCCCTTTTGCCAGCATAGGTGGTGTGCCCTGGAGCCGAGGGGTGGGGACCTGTGGGGTAACATATTGGGATGGGTCAGGCCTGTGGCTCCCGCTCAGCCCACTGCTGTGCCCAGCGCAGAGGGCACGATGAAGGGCTTTTCAGCCACGGTGGGTGGGTGGTTAGCGCTCTGCCCAGGGCATCTCGGGGTTCCCTGACTGTCGCTGTCTTCCTTCCAGGCGGCTGCAGGCTTCAGCCTGCGCCGGTCGGTGAAACCAAGATGTCGGGTGAGTCCTGCCTGCCTGGGAGCCCCCAGCAGCGTGGGCGGGAGGGAGATGCCGGCGGTTCCCACAGGAGCCCTCGGTCCTGGCCGTTGGCACACAGTGTCCTCTTGGCCCACGTGGCCTCTGACTCCTCGGGTCTCACAGCCTAGCACAGCCAGAGTCACATCTCTGCTAGGGGCAAAGGGCAGCAGAGCCGCCTGTGTATCCACTTCGACGCCTCACTGACCCGAAGCCCAGCCCAGCCGGGTGCCCCTGCTGTTGCAGCTGTTCTTTCCTTATAGCAGCTGGCGTGTTTTCGTGTGCCCCGGGGTCCCTCACCCACTCGTTTACTGGCAGCCTTCCCCAGTGGGGCGCAAGCCCCTGAGGACGGAGCCTCTTGTCATCTGGCTCATCATCTGGCCCTCACAGGCGCCCAGGGACACTTCCTTAGGTAGTGCTGGCTGAGCAGAAGCTCCTGGGGGTCTCCCAGTGCCACGCTGAGTCCCCCAAGGGCTGTGTTCCCATCCCAACCCCTGGAACCTGTGAGTAGGACCTCATTTGGGAATACGGCCTTTGCAGATGCGGTGAGTTAAGATGAGGTACTGGAGCAGGGTGAGCTCTCAGCCCAATGCCTGCCGAATTTATAAGAAGAGATGGGCCGGGTGTGGTGGCTCACCCCTATAATCCCAGCACTTTGGGAGGCCAGGGTGGGTGGATCATGAGGTCAGGAGTTTGAAACCAGCCTGGACAACAGTGAAACCCTGCCTCTACTAAAAATACAAAAATTAGCCAGGCGTGGTGGCACAGCACCTGTAGTCCCAGCTACGTGGGAGGCTGAGGCAGGAGAATCGCCTGAACCCGGGAGGCGGAGCTTGTGGTGAGCCGAGATCACGCCACTGTATTCCAGCCTGGGCGACAGAGTGAGACTCAATCTCAAAAAAAAAAAAAGAGATGGAGAGACAAGAGGAGGTGTTGTGGAGATGGAGGCAGAGGCCGGAGCTATGCGGCCATGAGCCAAGGGTGCCAGGAACCCCCAGAAGCTGCTTGGGAGAGGAAGGAAGTCTCCTTCCCTGGACCTGGCAGAGGGAGTGTGGTCCTGAGACACCTTGATCTCAGATTTCTGGCCTCCAGGACTATTAGCAGATAAATATCTGTTGTGTTCTTTGTTTTGTTTTGAGTCAGGGTCTGGGTCTTTCTCCCAGACTGGAGTGCAGTGCTGTGACCATAGCTCACTGCAGCTTTAACCTCCCGGGTTCAAGTGATCCTCCCGCCTCAGCCTCCCGAGAAGCTGGGACCACAGGCACGCACCACCATGTGTGGCTAATTTTTGTATATTTTGTAGAGTTGGGGTCTTACTAGGTTGCCCAGGCTGATCTGCAACTCCCGGGTTCCAGCGACCCTTCTATCTCAGCCTCCAAATGTGCTGAGGTCACAGGTGGGAGCCCCTATGCCTGAGCAGTTTCTGTTTTATTTTTTTTTTTCTTTTTTGAGATGGAGTCTCGCTCTGTCGCCCAGGCTGGAGTGCAGTGGCCGGATCTCAGCTCACTGCAAGCTCCGCCTCCCGGGTTTACGCCATTCTCCTGCCTCAGCCTCCCGAGTAGCTGGGACTACAGGCGCCCACCACCTCGCCCGGCTAGTTTTTTGTATTTTTTAGTAGAGACGGGGTTTCACCGTGTTAGCCAGGATGGTCTCCATCTCCTGACCGCGTGATCCGCCCGTCTTGGCCTCCCAAAGTGCTGAGATTACAGGCTTGAGCCACCGCGCCTGCAGTTTCCAGTTTGTTTTAAGCCTGCCAGTTGGTGGTGCCCTCTCACAGCAGCCACAGGGAACGGAAGTGTCCCCAGGCCACAGCCTCCCTGCAGTGTGCGGACTCTGAGCCTGCACGTTGGCGTCCCCTGCCTGCTGGAGGGAATGATACTAAACGCAGCCTGCTGCGGCCGCACCCACACTCAACATGGAGGAGGGCTACAAAGATTAGCATGGCTCTGCATAAAGGGTGACACAGAAATTCAAAAAAAAAAATTTCGACGGGACACAGTGGCTCACGCCTGTTATCCCAGCACTTTGGGGGGCAGAGGTGGGCAGATGATTTGAGGTCTGGAGTTCAAAACCAGCCTGGCCAACATGGCGAAACCCCGTCTCTACTAAAAAAAAAATCCAAAAGTTAGCCGGGCATGGTGGTGGGTGCCTGTAATCCCAGCTACTTGGGAGGCTGAGGCAGGAGAATCGCTTGAACCCGGGAGGCAGAGGCTGAAATGAGCCGAGATCGCACCACTGCCCTCCAGCCTGGGAGACAGAGTGAGACTCCGTCTCAAAAAAATAAAAAAAATTCATAAACTTAGCTCCTTAAAACAATGAAATCTGATCTGACAGTTCTGGAGACCAGAAATGCTAAGATCAAGCTATAGGCAGGGCTGGGCCCTCCTAGGGATTCCAGGCAAGAAGCTGGTTCCCGCCATTCCCAGCATCCAGAGGCGCCCGCATCCCTCCGCTTAGGGCCCCTTTCTTCCCCTTCACAGCCGCAGCGCAGCCTCTTCCCGTCCCTTTCTGACTCCCACCCTCCCGCCTCCTCTCGTGAGGCTGCCATGAGGACACAGGGCCCCGGATCAGCCAGACCCTCTCCTGTCTCAGGGTCCTGCTGTCGATCCCAACTGCAGAGTCCCTTCTGCCATCAGAGGCAACACAGCTGTGGGTCGAAGGGATGAGGTGGGGCCTCCTTCAGGAGACAAAGTCTGGTTCTGTCCGTGGGTTCTCTGTCCCTACAGAAAAGGAGAACAACTTCCCGCCGCTGCCCAAGTTCATCCCCCTGAAGCCCTGCTTCTACCAGAACTTCTCTGACGAGATCCCGGTGGAGCACCAGGTCCTGGTGAAGAGAATCTACCGGCTGTGGATGTGTGAGTGCGCCTGGTGTGCCCCAGGGTGGGAGGCGAGAGGCGGGACCCCTGGAGGGAGGGAGCATTCGGGCAGGGGCAGCCCGTCGGGGGCCGACTGTCCACCCTAACCGTCCTAGGCCCAGTGGTCCCTGCGGTGAATGAGGCCGGTGTCCAGGCCCCAGGCCCTAGTGTCCTGGCTTGCACAGTTCATCCTCGACGTGGGGTCACCAGGCTGGGGAGGTGGACAGTGGGTGCCCCATTGCTGGGCAGCATGTTTTCCCACGGCCACACCCCCCCCCGTGCCTGCTCATCTGTCCTCCCTCTCTTCGCAGTTTACTGCGCCACCCTCGGCGTCAACCTCATCGCCTGCCTGGCCTGGTGGATCGGCGGAGGCTCGGGGGCCAACTTCGGCCTGGCCTTCGTGTGGCTGCTCCTGTTCACGCCCTGCGGCTATGTGTGCTGGTTCCGGCCGGTCTACAAGGCCTTCCGGTGAGCAGAGCTGCCAGGCTGCCTGCACGGGGGGGGAACCAGGGCCCGCTCCGCACCCTGGTTCCAGCCCAGCTGTGAGGAGCTGTCCCTTTCTCTGCCCAGTGTGACAGACAGGTCACATCCAGGGGTGGCAAACTGTGGCCCACAAGCCAAAGCCAACTACTGTCTGTTTTGTTTTGCTTTCGAGTAATTTTGGTCGGGTGCGGTGGCTCACGCCTGTACTTCCAGCACTTTGGGAGGCCGAGGCAGGCGAATCACCTGAGGTCAGGAGTTCGAGACCAGCCTGGCCAACATGGTGAAACCCCGTCTCTACTACAAATACAAAAATAGCGGGGCATGGTGGCGGGCACCTGTAATCCCAGCTACTCAGGAGGCTGAGGTAGGAGAATCGCTTGAACCGATTCTCAAGGTTCAAGCGATTCTCGGGAGGCAGAGGTTTCAGTGAGCCGAGATCGCACCACTGCCCTCCAGCCTGGGTGACACAGTGAGACACTCTCTCAAAAAAAAAAAAGGAGGCCGGGCGCGGTGGTTCAAGCTTGTAATCCCAGCGCTTTGGGAGGCTGAGACGGGCAGATCACGAGGTCAGGAGATCGAGACCATCCTGGCTAACACAGTGAAACCCCGTCTCTACTACAAAATACAAAAAACTAGCCGGGCGAGGTGGTGGGCGCCTGTAGTCCCAGCTACTGGGGAGGCTGAGGCAGGAGGGCGAGGGAGGGAGCTGCAGTGAGGAGATCGGCACACCCGTGGCAGGCGAGCCTTCAAAGAGCGAGAGGCCATATCCAGCTGACAAGAACCCTCAAAAAAAAAAAAAAGAAGGAATAAAATAGAGCCTCCATTCTCGCCATCTCTGACTGACCCGTTCCTTTCTAGGCGCGTCTGGGAGAAGCCAGGGCTGTGGTAACCGTCATGTTTTCTGTCCCTTCCCAGAGCCGACAGCTCCTTTAATTTCATGGCGTTTTTCTTCATCTTTGGAGCCCAGTTTGTCCTGACCGTCATCCAGGCGATTGGCTTCTCTGGCTGGGGCGCGTGGTAAGCCTCTCTCTGACGGGCGTGGCGGATGTGACGATGTGACGCGGCTCAGCTGTCAGCTGCCAGGGTGTGGGCCTGCTGGGAGCGTACTGGTTCGAGATTGTACGCGCTCTCCTGGGGAGGGGTCCGAGCTCGCCCGGGCAGCGCCCACGTCCTCGCCAGCGCCGAGCCATGGTTCGTGATTGTACGCGCTCTCTTAGGGAGGGGTCCGAGCTCGCCCGGGCAGCGCCCGCGTCCTCGCCAGCGCCCAGCCAGGCTTGTATCCCGAGTGTTGATCACGCTCCGGATCTGGGGTCTGGGAGCCAGTTCCTGGCTGCTATGTTTCTGCACGGATGGCTGCAGGAGGAAGACCTGGACATCTGTAAAAACACACGCACCCGGTGCTGCTCCCACACCGGAGAAGCTCACAGTCACTCCCTAAGGCTGCCGGGCTCTCAGAAGCATTTATGTTTGTGTCTTAAATTTCTGGCTTTTTTTGTTTTCTTTTTTTTTCTCCTTTTTTTTTTTTTTTTTTTTTTTGAGACGGAGTCTTGCCCTGTCACCCAGGCTGGAGTGCAGTGGTGTGATCTCTGCTCACTGCAACCTCCACCTCCTAGATTCTCCTGCCTCAGCCTCCTGAGTAGCTGGGATTATAGGCGCCTGCCACCACGCCTGGCTAATTTCTTGTATTTTAGTAGTAGAAACACAGAGTTTCACCGTGTTGTCCACGCTGGTATCGGACTCCTGAGGTCAGGCAATCCGCCCTCCTTAACCTCCCAAAATGCTAGGATTACAGGCATGAGCCACCGCACCTGGCCTTTATTATTATTATTGTTATTATTATTATTATTATTATTATTTTTTGTTGTTGTTGTTGTTGAGACGGAGTCTCGTTCTGTCGCCCGGGCTGGAGTGCAGTGACGTGATCTCTGCTCGCTGCAACCTTCGCCTCCCGGGTTCAAGCAATTCTCCTGCCTCAGCCTCCCGAGTAGGTGGGACTACAGGCGCCCACCATCATGCCCGGCTGACTTTGTATTTTTAGTAGAGACGGGGTTTCACCATGTTGGCCAGGCTGGTCTGAAACTCCTGACCTCATGATCCACCCGCCTCAGCCTCCCAAAGTGCTGGGATTACAGGCGTGAGCCACCGCACCCGGCCAGATTTGTGGCTTTTTAAATAGGCTTTTTATTTTGGAATCATTTGGAATTCACAGTTGCAGAGAGAGACTGTTCTCACCCACGTCCCCGACATGTCTCCCTTGTCCTTGGCACGGCAGGAACTCCCCACGGGTGACGCTGCTCACAGAGCCATGGGTGCCTTTGGTTTCCTGGACGCCTGTTAGCAAGCTCCTATTCAGGGGCGCCTGCCCCACGAGACCGTGGTGGTCTCACGCCAGCGCTCAAATCAGAACCCAGATAAGGTCCCGGGTTTCCCGGAATGGTGACTCCTCTCCCTTCAGGACCCCTCGTTCTGTGGGCCCCTCCCCTCCTGCACCTGCGCCCGGCGCCAGGCCCTCCAGGGTGGCCGGGATCAGTGGTGTGTGCACCCCTTGGATGTGCTGCTAAGGCTGGTCTGGCCCCACTACCCCGAGAGCCTGAGTGACATTGCCCCAGGGATCTGAGTTAGAGTCCTAGTGAGGGTGTCCCTGGGGCTCCCAGCTCTGCCAGCCTGTGGGGTGCGTCCCCCTCCTGCAGAGGCCGTGGCTGCAGGTCAAGGCACTGCTCATCATTCTCCGAGTCCTCCTAGCCCACAGCTGCTGGCTCCGCTCCCACTGGCACTTCCCTGGGCTCCGGCGCCTCCTGCGAGGCGCCTCCCCAGTGCCTCCCCAGTTCTCCCAGGCTAAACTGGGTGGACAGGCCTGTGCCCATGTTGGGTGGTCCTGAGATCCTGGCATGAGGTGAGTGCCCATATGTGACCCTCAGAGACCTCCCTGCCCCCTCCGCCCTCGTGCAGTGCAGCAGCAGCGACTTGGCTCTCCTCATCAGAACCTAGAGTCATCTCCCGCAGGTCACGGGAGAAGCTGGAGCATGTGGTCCCTGCCCGAGTTGGACAGCAGGTGAACACTCTCAAGAAACAAACCCAGTGGTCCCTAGAGGAGAGCCCGGCCCCCCTCGTAACGAGAGAAATCAAATCACAGCACGTGGCGACTTCATGTCCACCGTTGGCTTAACAAGGCCCCATGGTCAGTGTGCTCCTGTGGGGTGAGAGGGGACAGCCCCGGCCCCGCTGCCCCGGGCGGCTTCACCAGTGCCACCTCCCCGGGGGTGACGCACGCCCGAGGCTGTGAGCCACGGCAGCATCTGTGGTTGCAGAGGACTGGAAACCCCAGAGAAATGACCCCCAGCGGGGCCTAGCTTTGTAGACAGTGAGGGTGGCCACGTGGCAGGAGCCGTGCACTGAGGACACGGTGCAGCGGGAGCCCTAGTGGAGCCCGCCAGCAATTGGACATCAGCGGGCACCGCAGCCTCTGAGCGGAGCATGCAGCCTGGCTGACGGTGTGCCGGGCACCTCCCTAGTCCTGACACTTGCAGCCAGGGATGTGAGACGCCAGCCAGTGGGAAGCTGGCGAGGGTGGCAAGAGTCCTCAAATGCCTTTGCTGCTTTTTGTAAATCTAAAATTACATCCAAACAGAGGTTTACTTTTTAAAAAAAATAAGAGAGGCCGGGCACGGCAGCTGACGCCTATAATCCCAACACTTCGGGAGGCCAAGGCAGGAGAATCGCTGCTTGAGGCCAGGAGTTCAGACCGGCCTGGGCAACATAGAGAGAACCCATCTCTCCAAAAAAAAAAAGAGAGAAAGGAATGAATGACCCAACGGCCATGAAGCCTGTGATGCCGCGGAGGCTCCAAGCAGGTGGACACAGGACAGGCCAGCATCTCGCAGGGTGGCGGCAGGGGGTACCACGTGTGCGTGCATGTCACGCCATATGCATGTGTGTGCATAAGCTCCCCGAACACATCCTGATGTGTGGGTCCTGTGGGCTGCCTGTGCGCTGGGGAGGGGAGTCAGCAGGAGGGAGACTGTACATCGTGCCTGCCTTTAAGTTCCCCGAATTTTAACGCTGGGGTTTTATCACCTCTTTAGACAAAAATCTGAAAATGACTGTGTTTTCTGCCTCCCGGGTCTCAAAGACAGGTGCAGTGCCCAGAGGCTGGTCCTGCACAGAGACCCAGAGCGTGCTGGCCTGCCTTCCCAGTGTCCCGCTGGTGGCGGGTCTAAGCAGTGCTTTCCCTCGGGGTTTTTTTTTTTTTTTTGGAGACAGAGTCTTGCTCTGTCCCCCAGGCTTTGGAGTGCAGTGGCATGATCTTGGCTCACTGCAGCCTCCTGCCTCAGCCTCCTGAGTAGCTGGGATTACAGGCGTGCGCCCTCATGCCTGGCTAATTTTTGCATTTTTAGTAGAGACGGGGTTTCACCATGTTGGTCAGGCTGGTCTCCAGTTCCTGGCCTCAGGTGATCCGCCCGCCTTGGCCTCCCAAAGTGCTGGGATGACAGGCGTGAGCCCTTGCGCCCGGCCTCCCTATTTTTTTTTTTTTTTTTTTTGAGACGGAGTCTCACTCTGTGTCACCCAGGCCAGAGTGCAGTGGCACAATCCCGGCTTACTGCAGACTCCGCCTCCTGGGTTCACGCCATTCTCCTGCCTCAGCCTCCCAAGTAGCTGGGAGTACAGGCACTCGCCACCACACCCGGCTAATGTATATTTTTCGTAGAGACGGGGTTTCACCGTGTTAGCCAGGATGATATTGATCTCCTGACCTCGTGATCCACCCACCTCGGCCTCCCAAAGTGCTGGGATTACAGGCGTGAGCCACCGCGCCCGGCCCTCCCTATTGTTTTTAATGGCCCTCAATGCCCCACCGGGTGGTGGTGGCAGATTTCCTATCCGCGTTGCTCCCGGACACGCGGATGTAGGTTTCAGCAGTTCCCATCGTTAGACACAGTTGCCGTAGGCTGGGTTCTTAGTAGCAGGCTCTATGGGGCATGGGGAGTGAGCTTTTGAGTCTTGCCATGGCTGGTACCCACCAGACTCACTGAGGGAAACTAATGGGGAAGTACTGGTCTCCATCCCCTGCACGCTCGGCTCACTGTTGCGGTGCTGGAGGGATAAGGTCGTGTTCATGTGCCGAAGTTGGTGCCTCAGTGTCACTTTATGTTTCTTGGCCACTCAGTGGTTCTTGTGTGAGCTGTGCCCTCCTTGTTGATTGGCCACAGCTCTTTACATGGGGAGGACCATGGGCCCTCATCTGGCGGGTGTGCAGGCCCCCACGCACTCTCTTGTCCCTTGCAGCGGCTGGCTGTCGGCAGTCGGGTTCTTCCAGGAAAGCCCGGGCGCTGCTGTGGTCATGCTGCTTCCGGCCATCATGTTCTCCGTGTCGGCTGCCCTGATGGCCATCGCGATCATGAAGGTGAGTCCTCAGCTCTGGGACATCGAACCCTTACCCATTCTCCAGGAGCCTTGTCACCCAACTGTCTCAGGTGGGTGAACGTCGGGGAGCCGGGCCCTCTCCCCGCGGTGTCACGCGGGCCGCAGTTCATCCCCAGCAGTGAGCTGGGATGACAGCAGGAGGCGCTGCCACCAGGGACACTCCCAGGGACCAGCGCCCAGGTTCCTATGGGGCGAGTCCCATGGTCCCCCCAGGCCGGGATTCCAGACTCCAGAGAGAAGCAGGGGTTGTGTGTAAACCGCAGCGTTTGCAGGAAGAGCTGAGGCCCCGGAGCTGTCCTGTCAGTGAGGATGGGGCCCCTTGCAGGTTCCTGGTCACACTTTCCATCAGAAGATAGCGGAAGTGTTGAGCTGGGCTCCAAATAGAAGTGTTCAGTTACAGCCGGGCGTGGTGGCTCAAGCCTGTAATCCCAGCACTTTGGGAGGCCGAGGCGGGCGGATCATAAGGTCAGGAGATCGAGACCACAGTGAAACCCCGTCTCTACTAAAAATACAAAAAATTAGCCGGGCGCGGTGGCGGGCGCCTGTAGTCCCAGCTACTCAGGAGGCTGAGGCAGGAGAATGGCGTGAACCCAGGAGGCGGAGCTTGCAGTGAGCCGAGATCGCGCCACTGCACTCCAGCCTGGGCAACAGCGTGAGACTCCGTCTCAAAAAAAAAAAAAAAAAAAAAAAAAAAAAAAAAAAAGAAGTGTTCAGTTACAGCAAAACGTCTTTTTTTTTTTTTTTTTTTTTTTGAGATGGAGTCTCGCTCTGTCGCCCAGGCTGGAGTGCAGTGGCGCGATCTCTGCTCACTGCAAGCTCCGCCTCCCGGGTTCACGCCCTTCTCCAGCCTCAGCCTCCCGAGTAGCTGGGACTACAGGCGCCCGCCACCACGCCCAGCTAATTTTTGTATTTTTAGTAGAGACGGGCTTTCACCGTGTTAGCCAGAATGGTCTTAGTCTCCTGACCACGTGATCTGCCCGCCTCAGTCTCCCAAAGTGCTGGGATTATAGGCGTGAGCCACCGCGTCCAGCTTTTTTTTTTTTTTTTGGTGACGGAGTCTCGCTCTATTGCCCAGGCTGGAGTGCAGTGGCACAATCTCGGTTCACTGCAACTTCTGCCTCATGGGTTCAAGCGATTTTCCTGCCTCAGCCTCCCAAGTAGCTGGGATTACAGGCGCTCGACACCACGCCCAAATAATTTTTTTTTTTTTTTTTCTTGAGACGGTGTCTCACTCTGTCCCCCAGGCTGGAGTGCAGTGGCGCGCAGAGCCAGGGTTTCACCGTGTTACTCGGCTGGTCTCGAACTCCAGAGCTCAGGCAGGCTGTCTGCCTCAGCCTCCCAGAATGTTGGGATTACAGGCGTGAGTCCCCATGCCCAGCCGCCACGCTCATTTTCTGTCCTCTGACTCCCTGTCGTCTGTCATTGCAGGTGCACAGGATCTACCGAGGGGCCGGTGGAAGCTTCCAGAAGGCACAGACCGAGTGGAGCGCAGGCACTTGGCGGAACCCGCCATCGAGGGAGGCCCAGTACAACAACTTCTCAGGCAACAGCCTGCCCGAGTACCCCACTGTGCCCAGCTACCCGGGCGGTGGCCAGTGGCCTTAGAGGGAGCCAGCCCTGCTGCCACCCCCACCACCTCCTCCCCTTCATTCCTGCTGCTACCCCTGGTCCTGAGGGCTGGGAGTACCTGGGGCCCCATCCCTCCAGCTGGGATGGTGGAAGCCGGTGGTGGCCATGGACCACACCCCTCTTGCCAGGGCCACAGAAGCCGTGTTCATCTCATCCGAGAGCAGAGTTCCTTGCAAGCACTCCCCATTGGCCCTCGGCGCTGCCGTCCACGGGACACCCTCTTGCTCCCGGAAATGTGTGGTCACTGCATGGCCGGTACGGCCTCGTCTTCAGGTCTCGAGGCCTGACTCCGGGGGACAGGTGGCAGCAGGTCGGCCGCCCTCCCGTCCTCCCAGAGCTGCTGGCGCTGAGGCCAGAGCAGCTCTGATGGGGAGCTCCATCTCACACCAGCCGCCCACCGTCACCAGGGCAGACGCCCTTGGCTGGGACTAAGAAGAGGCATCGGGGCCGGCTCCCGGCCCCCTGCAGTGATAGAGGGCTTGGTGCCTAGCCGAGTCCTCGCGGTCCCCGCCATCCCCTGATCTGTGCGGTTCCAGCTTCGCCCCCTCCCCACATTCCCCATAGCTGGGGAGCGCCTGGTCCAGGGTGTCCTGGGGCCACCCTTCCTGCCCCCGAACCAGGGATCCCTGGCAGGCCCTCTGTCCATGCCCCCGCATTCAGGACCCAGGCCAGGCCGGCAGCACAGCCGCTCCCTAACCCCAGCAAACCGGCAGAGGGCTGGTTTCCAGCAGCTGGAGCCCTGCAGGAGCGGCCTTTTGTGTTGTGTGTGTATGTGTATGTTTGTTTGTTTTTTTTTTTTTGAGACAGAATTTCGCTCTGTTGCCCAGGCTGGAGTGCAGTCATGTGATCTTGGCTCACTACAACCTCTGCCTCCCGTGTTCAAGCAGTTTTCCTGCCTCAGCCTCCCGAGTAGCTAGGCTTACAGGTGCCTGCCACCATACCCAGCTAATTTTTATATTTTTAGTAGAGATGGGGTTTCACCATGTTGGCCAGGCTGGTCTTGTATTCCTGACCTCAGGTGATCCGTCTGCCTTGGCCTCCCAAAGTGCTGGGATAATAGGTGTGAGCCACCGCGCCCAGCCTGGAGTGGCCTTTTATGAGGAGAGGGGACCCGTCAAATCTGTGCCTTATGGAGGGGTCCGGCAGCGGCTACAATTGTCTTGTCCCCTCCACCCCCCGACTCCCCCCGGAACACCTCCCCCAGACGTTTTCACAGCACCGTTCACAGCGGTTGGGCCAAAAAGAGATTTTTTCTTCTTCATTTCCTGCACTCGGTGACCACGACTTTGGATACCCCAGGCTGCCGCCCCTCACCACCCGTTCACCCCCAGAATGCTGTTGCTGTGGGACGCCTGCTGCCTGGAGCCCTCCCCGGGATGTGGGCCAGTCCCCTCGCTGGTGCGGAATGCCGCTGGGTGCCCGGAGGCGGCCGTGGTGTCTCGGTGGACGGCAGCCAGGATGGAGCACCCATGGGTCCCGCGCCCATGCTTCGGGGTCTTCAGGTCCTGCCCGCCGGCCGACCTGCCAAGAGGCACCCCCTTCCTCGGCCTCTCAGCTGCACTGATGCCGACAGTCTCCCCTGACAGGCCCACCCCACCCCTCCCCCACTGTCTGTGGCCCCCTTGCTGGGGTTTTGTTATGTGAAAATATCCTGGAAATAAATACATGTTTCTGCGCTTAGACCCAGGGACCAGCTGCATTTGTGGCGTGAGCACGTGTGGTTCCCCCAGGCTGTCTCCTTCCTTGAAGGACTCCTGAGCGCATGGCCTCTGGCGGGTGAAGCACTGCAGCGCCTCCTCCACCCAGGCCCCCGGGTGCTCTGAGCCAAGTGTGCCCAGGACCCTGCCATCCTGGTGAACCTGGTAAAACCCCACCTCGACTAAAAATACAAAAATTAGCCAGGCGTGGTGGTGGGCGCCTGTAGTTCTAGCTCCTCAGGAGGCTGAGACAGGAGAAGCGCTTGAACCCAGGAGGCGGAGGTTGCAGTGAGCCAAGATCATGCCACTGCACTCCAGCCTGGGGGACAGAGCAAGACTCTGTCCCTGCTCCCAACAAAAAAAAAAAAGGAAGCTTGCACAAATGGAAAGCCAGTGTCACTGGCCCTAAGTAAAAAGCAACCTTTGGCCAGATGCGGTGGCTCACTCCTGTAATCCCAGCATGTTGGGAGGCCAAGGTGGGCAAATCATCTGAGGTCCACAGTTCAAGACCAGCCTGGCCAACACAGTGAAACTCTGTCTCTACTAAAAACACAAAAAACTAGCCAGGCATGGTGGCCCACGCCTGTAATCGCAGCTACTCGGGAGGCTGGGGCAGGCGTATCGCTTGAACCTGGGAGGCTGAGTTGCAGTGAGCTGAGATTGCACCACTGCACTCCAGCCTGAGTGACTGAGCAAGTCTCCATCTGGAGATAAAAAGAAATAGGGGTTTGTGGAGTGTGGTGGCTCACACCTGTAATACCAGCACTTTGGGAGGCTGAGGCAGGCAGATCACCTGACGTCAGGAGTTCAAGACCAGCCTGGCCCACATGGTGAAACCCCGCCTCTACTAGAAATACAAAAATTTAGGCAGGTGTGGGGGTGGGCACCTGTAATCCCTGCTACTCGGGAGGCTGAGGCAGAAGAATCAGTTGAACCTGGGAGGCAGAGGTTGCAGTGAGCCAAGATCACACCACTGCATTGCCACCTGAGTGACAGAGCAAGATTGTGTTTCAAAAAACCCAAAAAACAAAAGAATAAACATTACATGTTAATTTTTTAAAATACATTAACAGGAGGATCGGTGGCATACATTTTTAAATTTTTGCAAATTTCTTGGAACGTCTGGTTTCATAGAGGACAAGGGATGGCTCATCAGCTCTGTCACAAAAGGGTGTTTTAGCCACAACAAAGATTGAGGTCAAATGGTCTATCTAGGATGTGAACCCAGGAAGTACTGAAGGGGCATGGGGATGGGGAACGGCTTGTAGTTTGTAGGGAGGCGTGAACAGGGAGGTTATAGCTCCAGACAGCTGGAGTTCAGTCCCTCTGAGGATCTGGTTCAGGTTGTCCCGAGGTGAGGGAGCTGGGGTATTTATCCTCCAACTCCCCTGCAAATGGGATGGGGGCTGGGGAGGCATAGCTCCGCCCTCAGGTGGAGAGTCATGGATGCCAGTCTGTGTGTGTTGTGCTTGTGTTGCGTGTGTATTGTATGTGTGTATGTACGTGCATCTGTGTGTCTATGAGTGTGTGTTTGTGCTTTACTACAGATTGAATTACGTCCTCCCCAATATCCATATGTTCACACCTTAAGCCCTAGGACCTCAGAATGTGACTTTGCTTGGAAATAAGGTCATTGAGGATGGAACTATACAGTTAAGATGACTTCATTCTGGAGTAGTGTGGGCACTGATCCAATGTGACTGGTGTCCTTTATATACAACAGGAAATTTGAGCTGGGCCTAGTGGCTCTCGCCTGTAATCCCAGCAATTTGAGAGGCCGAGGCCAGGAGTTCAAGACCAGCCTTGGCAACATAGTGAGACCCTGACTCTACAAAAAATTTTAAAATTAGCCAGGCATGGTGGCACACACCTGTAGTCCCAGCTACTCGGGAGGCTGAGGTGGGAGGATTGCTTGAGACCAAGAGTTTGAAACCAGTCTGGGCAACACAGCAAGATCCCATTTCTACAAAAAAATACAAAAATTATCTGGGCATGGTGGTGCATGCCTGTAGTCCCAGCTACTCAGGAGGCTGAGGTGGGAGGATCGCTTGAGCCCTGGAGGTTAGGGCTGCAGTGAGCTGTTATGGCGCCACTGCACTCCAGCCTGGGTGCCAGAGAGAAACCCTATCTCAAAAACAAAAAACAAAAAAAAGAGCCAGGTGCAGTGGCTCACGTTTGTAATCCCTGCACTTTGGCACACCAAGGCGGGTGGATCATCTGAGGTCAGGAGTTCAGGACCAGCCTGGCCAATGTGGTGAAACCCCGTCTCTATTAAAAATGCAAAAAATTAGCCGGGCGTGGTGGTGCGCATCTGTAATCCCAGCTACTTGGGAAGCTGAGGTGGGAGAATCGCTTGAAGCGGGAGGTGCAGGTTGCAGTGAGCCGAGATCGCACCATTGCACTTCAGCCTGGGTGACAGAGCAAAGCTCTGTCTCAAAAAAAAAGGGAAATTTGGACACAGACACGGACACACACAGAAGAACACTGTGGTGAAGCTTTAGCAAGCCAGGAACGCCGGTCACCACCAGGAAGCAGGAGAGGCCTGGGACAGAGTCCCCTCGGGCTCAGAAGGACCCAGCGTCGCCAACACCTTCGTCTGGGACTTGTGACTGGAATGAACAGGTGTTTGCACTGCCGGGTCTGCAGTACCTGGCAAGGCAACCCTAGCAAATCGATGCGTGTTTGCATGTGTGTGTGCCTGTGTGTGTTTACATGTTTAGGAGTGACAGATGCTGCAGGGTACAGACGGGGACCCCAGCCTCTGCTGCGTGTCCTAAATATCACGCCCCTCTGCTGTCGCCCCAGTCATCGGCCTTGTCTTCCCTTCGGTGGTCGACCTTGCCGCCCTCCGCTCGGCCGCCAGAGGGCGCCCTCGGACCCCGGTCGGACGGGCCCCGGTCGGACGGGCCCTGCCCGGGCTCCTGGGCTTCGGGTTCTCATAGAAACTCTCGCAGGGGTGGCTCACGCCTGTAATCCCAGCACCGTGGGAGGCTGAGGCAGGAGAATCGCTTGAACCCAGGAGGCAGAGGTTGCAGTGAGCTGAGAGCGCACCGTTGCACTCCAGCCTGGGCGACAAGAGTGAAACTCCTTTTCAAAAAAAAAAAAAAAAGAAAAAAAAAAAAAAGACACGGGGAGTGTCCGCCTGTGGACGAGGTGCAGCCGGCATGATGTGGCTCCTCTCTGAGTGGCCACGTCCCCTTCAGGGTCACAGGCGCGATCCAGGGAATGAGGAAGACGGAACTGCAGGCATGGCGGGAGACCTGGCAGGCAGCTGGGAGAATCGTGTGCCCCCATCGTGTGCCCCCCCACCGTGTGCCCCCTCACCATGTGCCACCCCATCGTGTGCCCCCCCATCGTGTGTCCCCCCCCCATGGCTGCTGCCCCTGGTGGGGAGTCCCCTGGGTGGGCGCCACTCACAAGAGTGACTGCGATGGCTTCACTGGGCTGGGCCCTCCAGGCTCCCTCTCCACCCCTGCCACTGAGCTCCATGCCGGGACCCAGGCCTGGGGGGGCTGCAGGGACAGATCCTCAGCCCTCTGGCTTCAGCTTTCATCCCAGCGGGGTCTGGCCGGGGGCTTGCACCAGGAGGCAGGGGGCTGGGAGAGTGAGGGAGGAAGAGTGGGGGAGGGGGAGTGAAGCCAACTGTCAGTCCCTGGCCTCCTCCCTCCAGAGGACAGCCTGTCCATGGGGGTCCCTCTCTGCAGCCTCTACCCCCACTGCTGGGCCCCCACTGTTGCCAACCCCAGGGGCTGTGTCATCCGGCGTTGCTGCCCCTCACCCTGCCTACTCCTCCACCAACCCCACTGCTAAATCCTTCTTCTGCATGAGGAAGCCATCACCTTCCGACAGCAATTAAGGAGGGTGAATGTGATACGTCTGGGACATCTGAAGATTTCCCAGCATGAACGCACAATCCCAAACTTGTGTGTGTGTGTGTGTGTGTGTGTGTGTGTGTGTGAGAGAGAGAGAGAGAGAGGGAGAAAGAGAGTCTCACTCGGTCTCCCACGCTGGAGTGCAGTGGCACAATCTCAGCTCACTGCAACCTCCACCTCCCAGGTTCAAGCGATTCTCCTGCCTCAGCCTCCCAAGTAGCTGGGACTACAGGCATGGGTCGCCATGCCCAGCTAATTTTTATATTTTTAATAGAAACTGCTTTTTGCCACGTTGGCCAGGCTGGTATCGAACTCCTAGCCTCAAGTGATCCACCCACCTCAGCCTCCCAAAGTGCTGGGATTACAGGTGTGAGTCACCCAGTTGAGTCATTTCTTTCTTTCTTTCTTTTTTTTTGAGATGGAGTTTCGCTCTTGTTGCCCAGACTGGAGTGCAGTGGTGTGATCTCAGCTCACTACAACCTCCACCTCCTGGGTTCAAGCAATTCTCCTGCCTCAGCCTCCAGAGTAGCTGGAACTACAGGCATGCACCACCATGCCCGGCTAACGTTGATATTGTTAGTAGAGTCAGGGTTTCTCTTTCTCCTTGTTGGTCAGGCTAGTCTCAAACTCCCGACCTCAGGTGATCCGCCCACCTCGGCCTCCCAAAGTGCTGGGATTACAGGCGTGAGCCACCGTGCCCGGCCCCCCGGTTGAGTCATTTCTAGTCTTCTGAGCACCAGACACTTGATAAGATGTGTGGTGTGTGTTGTTTTATTAATTTTATATTTATTTATTTATTTATTTGAGACGGAGTCTTGCTCTTTGCCCAGGCTGGAGTGCAGTGGTGCGATCCCGGCTCACTGCAACCTCTGCTTCCCAGGTTCAAGTGATTCTCCTGCCTCAGCCACCCAAGTAACTGGGACTACAGGCACCTGACACCACACCTGGCTAATTTTTTGTATTCTTAGTAGAGATTGGGTTTCACCATGTTGGCCAAGCTGGTCTCAAATCCCTGACTTCAGGTGATCTGCCTGCCTCAGCCTCCCAAACTGATGGGATTATAGGCATGAGTCATGGCTCTCAGGCTTTCTTCTTATTAAAAAAAAATTAAAT